ACGACTTCCTGAAATACCAGGTTGTTTAGGTTGGCCATTTCCTAACCTCCACCACATAAACGACCAGTTGCTTCTCTATTTGAGTCAGCACTGCAGAGAAAATCCCCAGAAATAAAAAATAAAAGATAATGCCTGTGAGAACTAGGACCTATTTAAAAATCATCTATATACTATCAAAGGGAAAAAATGAATCTTGGGGAAATTCTGTCTCTATTTTCCTTAGATTACAATTTAAGCACTAAAATCTCCAGCTCTTTTATACAATAAACCTCTGATAATAGTCCATAAAAAGATGAAATAATAAGAAAAGTCTCAAAAAGCTCATTGAAATCATTTCCATTACAACTAAGAGTGACTCTAAGAAATGGGGTAGCATGGCCCACTTGGAGTTTCAGAGGCTGTGCATCTTTGAGGGAGCAGAACACCTGATCTGTCTCTTTTGACGGGGATGGTGATTTTGAGCTGATTTAGCAATTGACATCCCAACAGACAACGCGCTTTGTCACCTGGGATTCATATTAAAAATTAGACAACCTTAAAGTAATCTAAGAGAAATATATGGTAGTATATTTCCATAATATATGAGTAAACATAGATACAGATTATCTTATCCATTACGTTCAATTAAAGGTTTACTAATTAGTTTCCCCTTTTTTATAACATTCAGGTACTTAAAATGGTTTCTTTGAGCTTACCAAGAAACTTAATCATAAACTCTGGCACAGTCTAAATATTTATTAAATTCAATTTTCATTAAATGTGTACATAACCATATGCTATTTGATACAGAGTCTGTGCTACACATATTCCTTGAATTTCCCCTTCAAGAATGAAGTATTTACTGAGCAGCTCTGGGGAAGTGGATCTCCTCATTCTGCATTTGTAGAGGCCTCATCAGAGAGCCACCTCACCGGGGCCCACGCTCCTTTCTTAAACGCCACTCCAAGGACTCTGCTCTGTGGTCCTTCTGCTGGGTCATTTCTGTGCTTGCATTCTTGATTTGCTGAACCACTGATGACCCCTGGATTCCTCAAGTAATGACTGAAATAGAGTCACATTTAATTGGAAAAAAGATTCACAGTATAACAGAAAAAAAAATTCATATATATATATATTAGGTGAGAATGGTGAAGATCATATCACATAATAAAATTGAAGATTACCACATCGTTGCATTACTTCCAATTAAATTGCTAAATAATTGCTAAGCCATTGAGTGTCATGGCCCAGTTAACTTGATATAACCTTAACTATCATAGCCACAGTTACTCTAATCTCATAATTTGCCATTTATTAAGGCTACACATACATCTTTAATGTACAAAATAGTAAGAGAGTAGATTTTTCACTATTGGTGTTGATGTGAACAATCAATGATATATTCAATAAGTTAGGGGTGGTGTATATAACTACAATACATTTAATAAGAAATAATATAACTATTGACAATAACCAAAGGGCATCTGACATTTAAAAATAAATGTCATTTTTTCAAAAGTAAGTTATATTTCCCAAGTAATGACTTTGAAGTCAATTAGGATCTTATAAAAATTATAAAATTGTGTTAGGAACATTTTTAAAATGTTTGACAGCAAAAGTTAATATCTGTGAACAGCATATTTGAATGTGTATATAAAATTTCTAAAATATTAATTAAGTTAGTGACCTTTCTTTCCCCTGATGTACTGAATAAATATTTGTTTTATTCTAGTATTTTTTTAACATATCCTCATCCTTAGGGAGCTCATGTAATTGGCGTTTAAAAAGCCCCAAAGGTAATTTTAAGTCTTTAAAAAGTTGATGGCTCATATTTCTACAGCCTTTGTCGATTTCCAAAATCATAAAGAGAAAATTGCTTCAAAATGTGAATGGCTTAGTGAATTGTTTCAAAATGTGTATAGTTAAAAATGACTCAATGTTCATGCTTGCTAACATTGCCAACCAGTATCTTATGCTGGTACAAAGATCTTGCTGGCATTATGAAAAGCTGATTGTGCTTTGTAAGCTGGGTAACTGACGGGGAGGATTTTTTGAGATCCAAACAAAGAGAAAGGGGAACAGTTAGTTCCTGGATTCTGGAGATTACTAGTATGGGACTCTCAGAGGAAAGCATGAACTCCAGGACTCTAACACTCTAATCACAATGATGATCTTCTTAATTCATTTTCTAAATAAAGATCAAAATGCTAGTGACTCTTCACTATTTATATTTAGAGTCTTATTATTTGCTGGTGGTGGTGCTAGTGGTGAA